CATGTGCCCTGACCGGGAATCGAACGGGCGACCCCTTGGCTCCTGGGTCAAGGTTTAACCACTGAGCCAGGTTTTACTTATTTTTTAATTGTTAAATAAGATTAGACTATTGGGTGGAATGCTGTAATGCAAAGGCAGTCAGTCACCAATACAAAACCGCAACAGAAAAACTAGGCCAGGGCAGGCCTCAGCTTCACGTGGGCAAGGACAGAGCCTGACTCCAGGACTTGGAACAGAATAAACTCCACGTAAGAACTTGTTGGGTGAGTGAAGAGCCACAGAAAAATGGATCTGGGAGATTTTATTCTTCCAGCTATGAGATTGTGAATTTCTGCAGGAGATCATTAAAATCCTTTTTAGCATGCTTCTAAAATTCTGAAATGACTCCACTTTTCCTATGCTTTTCGGAGTTCTGGAGCCCGAAGCTTGTAAACGAGTGCTTGCTTGCTCGCCTAACTCCTTTCTTCCTGCCCTACCTGAGTTATGCCCCCACTTTGGCAGGCTAACCCGCGTGTCCCAGTCGCCACTGGTTTCTCAGCTCAAGCCAACACTGGGAACCTACCTGCTGGGTGATGAGGGTCCCCTGAAACCTGATGTCAGCACTTGAATATAAGACAGAGTGACGTCAGGAGCTCAACAGAGAAATACACACAGTAGGAGGGGTCATAATGACGGAGCAATTAATTTTGATTGTAAATGTGGAGAAAGTTCCTGAATTAGGTAACAGTGTTGGCCTTGAAAGACAATAATAATGATGATAGTGCTACTAATAATAATTACAGCTAACATTTATTGACTCCTTATTTTTTCAATTGAGGTGAACTTGGCATACACATGATGTTCGTTTCAGGTGCACAACATAATATTCAGTATTTGTATCTGTTGCAAAGTGGTCACCCCCATAAGCTTAGTTAACACCCATCACCATACCTAGTTACAGAAAGTGACGGAATCTTTTTTCTTGTGATGAGAACTTTTAAGATCTACTTTCTTAGCAACTTCCAGATAGACAATACAGAATTATTAACTATAGTCACCATGCTGTACGATACACCCCATGACTTCCTTATAACTGAAAGTTTATACCTTTTGACCCCCTTACCCATTCCGCCCCCCCCCCAGCCCCGGCAGCACCAACCTGTTCTCTGTGTTACCAGCTGCTTCCTATTTGCTCGCCTCTGTGGTCTGCGTACTGTATGCATATCAAATGTTTAATCCTTGCAGCAACTCTAAGAAGTAGGTCCTGTAACTCTCTCTACTTTATAGACAAGGAAATTATCCCAAGGGCTGAAGCAGCTGCCCCAGTTAGCAAGGGGCAGAGGGGAACTGCACCCCCAGACCGTCGGGCTGTGAGCCCTGCTCCCCTGTGCCCCCCTCTGCCCCCGAGCAGACGAGATTTGGAAAGGAGGGGGGGCAGGAGCGATGCAAGGAGAGGTTTGTGACATGTTCAGGGACTGGTCCCGGAGGGGGTCAGGATGGGAGCACGGGGCACGTTGTGGGAGCTGGAGACGGCGGGAGGGACAGACCCGGGAGGGCCAGCAACGCCCTGTCTGCACTTTAGGGTTTGCTCCAGGCAGTGGAGAGCCTGGGCCCCTCTACTGGAGGAAGACGGACATAGTCCGGCCTCAGTATTGTTAAATACACTGTCCCTCACCCTAGAGACGTCCTCGCCTCCCCCCCATCTTCCGACCAAGTCCTCTCCTCCCAGGCTCAGCGGGAGTCACCTTTGCCATGAAGATTTTCCTGTCCTAAGTCTAGTGCCCCTGGGACTCAAAAACCCATCTGGTCCCATCATTCCATTCCTGCTGGGTGCCTGCAGCCTTCCACGTGCCAGCGAATGGGCACAGCAAGCTCTGGGCCCTGCCAGCTGTCCCTGGTACCGTCTTGTGAGTGTCACGAGTGCTATTCTCACACCTCACTGTCATCCTGGGCAGTGATACATGGCCCAGGGCAAGGAACAGGCAAGCTAATTTCAGTCGATTTCAAGAATTATTCTTCTACCTCCATTTTCAACTCCAAAGCATCGCAAAAATCAAAAGCATTCAAGAGAAAAGTGTATTTGTTTTATTAACGTTTTGCAGAATATACAAACAGTGCAGCATGGTTTCCGATTTCCAGCTAGCGTAGGTGACCAGAAATGGAGCCCGAGAAGGTGCACCTTCTCTTCCTAATGCCGGGGGGTGGGTGGATTTCTCTCTCACTTTCTTGGTATTTTCCATGGGCCTAACTGCCTCCTAATTAACTCCATCTGCAACCCTAGAAACCTCCATTAACTAAGAAGTTCACTAAAAAAAAAAATTACAAATTAGTAAGTTATGGCCATGGGTCCAGGGGCACCTTCTTGGCGTTTTAGTGACTCATTTTTGCATGATTTGGAGGACAAGTCACAGAGTAGAATCTCCGAGTTGGCAGTTGATACCAAACGTGTAAGAATTGGCATGCCGGTCCAACCGGGATAAAGTGCAGAGAGAGCTCCGGATTCTATTCAGTAGGATTGAAAGATGTGGCTGAAATTACTGAGCTAATTTCTCCCGAAAGAGGAACTCTGAGTTCTTCATTATAAGCTGGAAATCAGACCGAAATTCCACAAGCAAACACACTCCCAGCCAAACTGAAGCCAAAACCCCCACAACCTAAAATTACAGCAACCAAAGAACCCCCTATCTGCCCACCCCTTCTCCCACAAACCAAAGGCGTGGTGACAAATGAACAAGACAATTGTATCGTTTAATTTGTACGTGACCCCAGGAACGGTTGGATCCTCTAATCCATTGGTTCTTAAACCTATGAGACCAAAGATTCACTCTTTATAGGAAATGTTTGTAGTTCACCTTTTACTGTCTGGAAACAGAATTCATGTAGAATGTGACCTAGCTACACTAATAATGATAATAGTAATAATGGCATTGCTGTGAAAAGAGGGGAAATGAACAGAGTACGTTATGGGAGTATAACGCGTACTCGTGTTTGTAAACCACGTTGGAAGGCCCAGCGAAGCTGTCAGATGTTCGCACATGTGGAACACTGTATTCTCAGTCTGCGTGTTCCTCACCTCGAGACTGTCCTGGTTTTCTTTCAGTTTATCGGAACCATATACACCACTTGGATGTTGTGTTTGTTTTGCTGTGGGTACTAGGCCGGTCAGAAATACATCTAGTGCTCGGGTACAGTGACTTTCACTGCGGGTTCCTGGTGGAATTACCTGCCCCTTTCACTCTGGCTGCTGCTGTTTCTCGGACTTTATCTTAATTGTCCTCTGTGTGCTCTTATTGTCAGCTGCATCTTGTCTCGTTAGAAGTAGGGTGAGGTGTAAATGACCAGTCGTGAAGCCTAAGCACCTGAACAGCGTCTGGCACATGAAAGGTGCTTAATGAATATTTATTGAGTGAATGGGTGGGTCCGGAAATGAACTGAATTTCACTTTTCTGTAAGTAGCAGTAAATGGCCATAGGCGGAGGGAGAGCTCCCGCTTATCCATGAGAAGGGCTCTCGGGACCACAGGCATGGATTTGGTAGAGTGTGAGTAGTGTTTTGAGATGATGATTGAATCCTGGATTTCTGAAACGTGTAAGACTTAGTCACCTGAATGAGTGAACATTTAAGTGCTCCGGGGTTCCCCCAGCGTGCTTGGTGTCGTGCCCAGCCCAGTACCGCTTTGGTCCTGCCCCACCGAGGCACCCAAGACCAGGGTGTGCTGTACAAAAGCCACGTGAACAGAAGCTCAGCTGTGTTTTGACCCCGATGCAAAAATCTTCATTTGAAACACGTGAGAGTCAGACAGACCAGATAATTCTTGGTCCAATAGTATGGTTAATAGAGTAGAAGTAAGAAAGCAAGGAGAACCGAGGGCAAGTTCAGAAGAAACGTTGGCAGCAGCGAGGCGGCATCGAGTCCTGGCTAGGAAAGGATTCAGAGCCAAGACTCAAACGACAGTGGTGCCTCGTTTTTCCAACGTCTCTGGTGACAAACATTTCGGGTTAGGAATGCCCTAAACCCGGAAGGAAATGCCTCGGTTTTTGAACACGCCTCGGGAGTGGAACATGCCCCACGGCTCCCGCTAAGGGCAAGATCCTGACGCCCAGCTGTGGGCTGGAATCCCTTGGTTTTCTAACATTTCAGACCTCAAACCGTCTCCTGGAACGGGTTAAATTAGAAAACCGAGGGACCACTGTATAAGAGAGTTTATTTAGAAAGTCACAGTGGTAGAAGTGAGTGGTAGAAGAAATGGGCTCAGGAGGTAACAGGCCTGGGGAGCGGGTGGAAGAGGTGGGGCAGGGAGAGGGGAAAGGCTCGGATGTGCTCCCCGAGGGGAGAGTGCACTGGGTCCTCTGTCCTTAAGGTTTTTAAGGGCAGGGATTTTAGGGGGTGGTCCCAGGTGAGGATCTCAGTAGAATAGCCATCAGCTTCCCTGGTGCGTCTTTCAGGGTCGTGGTCTCTACTGATTGATTGGCCGGCGCCAGGGCAGGGCGTTATTAGTCAACGCAGCTGATCCTGAGGCAGCCATGGGGTCACATGGGTTTTGCCGCTTTTCTGGGCCTGGAGCTGAAATAAAACTGAGGCATATATGTATTTGATGCGAGTCAGAACCTCATTGTCCTGGGGGCTTAATGCTTAAGGGCTATTCTCTGGCCTCCAAGTATGCTCCCCCTCTAAGGGGGTCTAACCCACATGACTAGCGACATGCCAGGGGAGGAAAGGTCAGGGGAGGGTCTGAGCCACATGACCACTGATATGGAAGATTGGGGGTCTAAACTGCATGACCAGCGATGTGCTAGGGGAGGAAAGGTCCATATTTTCCCAGTTTCGTCTGTTTCGAGGCACCCTGGGCTTTTCGCTTTGGCGACCTTCTGTACCTGGCCTATGATCCTTGCTCTACTCATGTCTGTCTAACTGCCTACCACAGAAACAGACTCTTAACGTTGGTGACATGATGGCTGATTTGTACCTTGCCACTTAGCACTCGATTGCATGCGGTTTGATGTTACTTTCCTGTTTTCCAGGGACTCAGGGGCTCCAGGAAACAAGATCTGCCGGTGCCATCTGTTCGTGCAGAAACTGGGGACTGAGGAGGCTTTGCGCCTGGTGCAAAGTGAGTTACCAGCCTACCCGCCGGGTTGAGCTAGAGCCCAAAGTCCTTGTCACTGGCATTTTCCCACCACCTAAGACAGAAAGCCTTTTGAGAGCAGACACGTGTGAGAACTTCCCGAAGACTAGAGGCCAAGAGCAGCCCTTCTCAGAGCCCTGGGTCTTCCACCTCTGCCCTTGGTGAGCAAGCATCTTAACTTTCTCTTACAGCAGAGACGCCGGCAAACACAGGGGTCCTTCCCTTAGCCTCTAAGTGCATGAACTTAGATGGGGGGAAAAGGACATCTTTATTTACTTCTGCCAACGGAAGAAACATTCAAACCTGCGGAGAATTTTTGTGTTTATTTAAGCCAAACTGTTGACAATTGCGAGGAAGCAAAATCTCAGTGGTTTGAGATAAGGCTCCGGAGAAGGGCTGTTTTGCACCTTATTTCATCCGTTACAATCAAAAGAGGAGACGAGTGTGGGTTACATGAAATCCATTGGTGACAGATTCGGGAGGCAGGAGAAAGCAAAGCAGGGGAAACCTCTGGGATTGGATAAAAGTAAAATGATAGACACACGCTTCTTTTACATTGGTGGGTGCAGGATAGTTAACAGTCAACGAGTAACTCAGTAACGGAGGGAATCTGTGGTCTCCACAGAGTGGTGCCTGTACTTTGAAGGGTCCAGAAAAAGAAAATTACCTTGACATTCCAAAGATATGTTATGGTAGATGCAAAAAGACAATAGAAAGGCTCAGGGTAAAGATTGACCTTTGTTGGGAAAGATGCCAGCCTAGGACATGACTACCCACCGTAAACTGCTTTTAGTTAAAACATTTTAATTTCAGACCATCTTTTGTGGTTACTTTACATCTCTGAGTTTACAAGGCCCTAAGCTGGTAAGGTTAGCATGTAGCCCCTTTTTGTCCACAGATATCTCGAAATATTGTTTATAACCATCACTACTGTGAAATTATGGTAGTCATCACTGCTAGATCTCACCATTTCAAGCATCAATGAACACATGTATTACTCTAGTACAATTAAAAGAAATATTTCAGTATAATTGATTTTCTTTGCAACTTAGTGTATTTTATTTTATGCATTTAGGTATGGAGGGTTATCCATCTTTAAATACAAAGATTAAAAAAACAAGGTTAGGAATCACTCCTTAAAGAGAAAGATCGTTTAGGGCTTCATTAACTGCTCACTGACCTCTTTGCTGTGGATCATCAATGAACATAGTGTGGATTTCTGTTGAAGCCAGACAAAGGGAGTTTAGCTTCTCAACCATTAAAAGGAAGTCTTATTACTAAAGAATTCATGTAGATTTAATAACAAAATGGCATTATAGAAAGTATATTGACTCCATCAGCTACAGTTTATGCATTTCATGATTCTGCATCTGTCCAGTGTTTTTGTGTGTGTTTTTAAAAAAATGTCTTTATTGACTTCAGAGAGAGGAAGGGAGAGGGAGAGGGAGAGAGAAACATCAATGATGAAAGAGCCATTGATCGGCTGCCTCCTGCACGCCCCCCACTGGGGGTCACGCCCCCAACCCCAGCATGTGCCCTGACAGGGAATCGAACCTCAATCTCCTGGATCCTAGGTCGATGCTGAGCCGTGCCAGCCGGGCTGTCCAGTGTTTTATCAATTCACAGCCATCTTCTTGGTTGGAGGGAGAAACAGATTGAAGGTGATGCTCCCCAAGGTCACTGACTGGGAAAAAGAAGTAGGAAAATTGAGGACAGAAGCTTTGAACCAGCATAGACAGAACCAGACCCATGCCCAGGACAGCCACCCGGGGAGACCACTGACTATTCATGAAGATGAACTGAGGCCCCTTTAGACCTCCTGAATTGGTTACTTTTTTTTTTTTTTAATTTTGAAGTTAATTGTAAAAATAATAGCTAGCAATTGAGCACATTGTTCTGCTAATGGGTTTTCAATGAGGAGTATGTGTGTGTGTTTTGTTTTTTTTAAAATATATCTTTATTGATTTCAGAGAGAGGAAGGGAGAGGGAGAGAGAGAGAGATAGAAACATCAATGATGAGAGAGTCATTGGTCGAGGCCACAACCCGGGCATGTGCCCTGACCGGGAATCGAACCTCGATCTCCTGGATCCGAGGTCAGTGCTCATCTGCTGAGCCACGCCCGGCTGGGCAGGAGTGTGTGTGTTAAACACAGATCTTTATCCCTCCGGTCACTGAAGACGTGGAATTCAGACTAGAAAAGTCAAGCTTGGGCGTTTGAGGCTTTTAGAAAGAGGAGAAGACCAATTTAGTAAAATTTAAAATCTTGCAATATCACCATGGGAGAAAATGCAGAACTCTGTGTGTAGAACGTGTTGTCTTTTCTGAAGCAGTGCTGGGAGACACTCCGGCCAGGAGCTCTGACACCCTGTTTGTTGTGTTTTCCAGGGCGGGCGTTGAGCTGACAGGGCTTTTCATTGCCATTCCTGGCAACCTGAGAACCTTTGAAGGGGACTGTTAGCTCCTACAAGTTACTGATACTCTCCGTGTGCTATTCGTAAGTCCCCTCCGATTGGGGATTACTTCTGCTTCGCAGAAATTATCTGCGTGGATTCGTGTAGAGTTTAGAACATTCTCTGGCAAAACCTCAGAAAAAGATATGCTTTTGTCTCAGACGGATGTCAGCAGCTGCAGCAGGACCCAGTGAGCGCGCTCCCTGGGTGGCACGAGGCTCCGGGAGCCACGACTCCAGCAGAGGGACAGCCTCTCCAGCTTTCTCATCGGGAGGAGTGTGACACAGTGAGAAAGGGGACAGAAGAGCCACGAGCAACACAGCTGCCAATGAACTAGGAGCAGGAGCGCTTTTAAGAGGGTAGGGCTGCTGGACTCGGCTCATCCGCAGGACAGGCTCTGTCATGGAGTGAAATGCCGCCTGGGGTCTAAGAAGCGACAGAGAAATGGCCCAGGAAGTCAACCTGAATTCCCTGCAGGAATTAGAGCGGGAGGCGGTCCTCCAGGTCCTGTACCGAGACCGGGCCATGCAGGATGTTGAGGAGGAAAGGATACGGTATGTGGCGCTCCATGGGTGCCGGCCTTGGTGTCTGGCTTTTCTGCTGCGAGCCTGCTCCTCTGAACTTGGCATATGGCTCCCGGCTTGCTCCTCAGCTGCTGGTCTGACAAGTGTCCCCAGATGGGCGGTGGGTGGGTGGGTGGAGATCACCTGTGCTGTCTAGCTCACCTTCCAAGTGGTAGGGGACAGGGGAGGCTGCTCTGGTTAAAAAGGTGCCTTTTTTGTGATAAATTTGCCTGCTTTACAGGAATCACTCTAGGGAAGCTGACAGGCTTCCCCCCTCCCCCTCCGGAGGCGACGCCTCTGGTTAAAGGTTTTCCTAGATCATTCTTGGTGGTACCTGAGGCCACAAGGAAAAGCAGAGAAGGCAGCTTAGAAACAGCACGCCTGCTGGAATGCGGTCCTGTCTCGCTCGCTCTCCTTGGCTCGCTTTGGCTTCCACGCTGGGGCCTGTGACACACGAACCTGCTCCTGCTCGGGAACCTGCTCGGCCTGCTCCCGTTTGTCTACAGGGAGTATCTTTCCTTGTGGGCTGTTTGCCGTTAGTTAAATTCAATAAGAGGGCCGGGCTGTTCCAAACAGTGCCCATTGTCAGTTGTCAAGACCCATCTTCAAATAGATCAGTAGATTTACCTACATGTTGGTGCCCTTTGTCAGTGTTGGTGGAGGAGGTGAGGTCTCGGAAGGAAGTAATGGAATAGGCTTTGAGTTTGGGTTTGTTTTTAATGGCAACTCTTTCAGAGTCTGCCAAGAAAAACATGGGTATAAAATAAACTTTTGGACAAACACATGCTTGAAGAGGGAGGGAAATCTGGTCAGCTGGAAGGTACAGTGTTCTTTTCTGTTTTCACCTGTTTTCCCCAAACTCTCAAAACGGACTTCCACTTCCTTCCACTAAGAAATGTTAACACGCCGAGCACAGTGGGAGGTTCTTTGGTGATTAGAGATCTCTCGGTGTTTAGAACATCGCTTTGGGTCTCGACAAACAACCTGGACACTGCGGGAAGGAAGTTCTGATCCTGAGGGTACTGATTCTAGGCAAATCCTGAAAGTGGAGTGTAAGCTCGTTTCTTGGAATTGGCTTCTCTCTTCTAAAAGCAGCTACAGAGATTTCAAAAAGAGTGTCCTGGTCAATGACACGTCTTTGGGGTCCAATGTGATATCCCTTGGCACTAGGGCTGTTTTCTAGGGGGAAGGGGGTTGGGAGTGTACTGACCACCCATAAACAAACAGTAGCACAGCATCAGTTAAGTAATTTCATTAGGTAACTAGTGACAGAAGCAGGCATGCATGCTGACTATAGATCTTTTCGTGCCTTGCATATTAGAATTCATGCTATTTTCTGTGTGTTTTTCCGCTCTCCTTTCACTGTTCTTACCTACCACTAAATGCCCTTTAGGCATGAAGGGATGAACCCAGAACAAATCAGCAGCTGCCTCCTCTGTGCTGGCCTCTTGTTTATGCTTTGCCTTTTAATCCTCACAGCAACCCCGGAGGTAGGGTTTTCTCACCCCTGTTTCACAGCTGAGAAAACCTCTGAGCCTCACAATCGGCCAGGGCGGAGCCCAGGGTTGTTGGTGGAGAAGCCCCTTCTCTCCTGCCTTGCGGTACTGGCGGGGCCCTGGAGGCAGAGGAGGGTGTCTAGCCTCCGCCCTCCTGCTCTGTTGGGTCTTATTTAACTCTCTGGGCCACAGGAAACTGAAGGCCCACCTGCAGCATCTGCGGTGGAAAGGCGGGAAGAGCGTGGGCCAGGAGTACAAAGAGAAGTTGTGCGCCCGCTGCCAGCGTGTCCTGGGGCTGCTGCTGAACCGAGGCGCCGTGTGCCAGGGCTGCAGCCACTGCGTGTGCTCCGGGTGCCGCGTGTTCCTGAGCAGGACCCGCCTCTGGAGGTGCACCGTGTGCTACGAGGGCAGGTGAGGATGGCAGGAGTCCTGGGAGGGGGTCCCAGACAACCCCCAAGTTCAGTAGTAAATGTTCACAGAGCGCCTTCCACGGAGTGACCTTGGAGGTCACTGTAATTCAGTGCCCTGGCCGGTGTGGCTCGGTTGGTTGAAGTGTCATCTCGTGCACCCACAGATGGCGGGTTGGATTCCCTGTCGGGGCACATATCTAGGTTGCAGGTTTGATCCCCGGTCGGGGCAAGTACAGGAGGCAGCCCATTGATGTTTCTCTCTCTTTTCCTTCCTCTCTCTCTAAAATCACTAAAAACATATCCTCTGGTGAGGATTTAAAAAGAAATGAAATGGGTATGCTTTCTATTAGTCATAGACTGAAGCTACATTTATTTTAATTTTTTTGGTGGTATGAGGTTTTAAAAAACTTTTAACATGAAATTGGTCTTTTTGAACTACCCATTTTGAAAATGGTAAAGAACAGGTTGGGCTTGGGCTTCACTGTTCACAGCAAGACTGGGCTGGCCGCTGGTCCTGGACACCCGTGGAGAGCGTTCCCGGGTGTCGGGCCGGCGTGCTCCAGGCCGGCAGGGGCCTGTGAGAGGCGCGCAGCGCTCGTCTGCTGTGACCCGGGAGGGCAGCCCAGGGCCCGGGATCTGAAAGTGAACTTCTAGGGGCCGCCACGGAGGCGAGAGTGCCCGGGACAGAGGTCGCCGGGGGCACTCACGTAGTGCGAACACGGCCGCTGGACTTTCTCTGCCCGTCACTAGGAGGACTGTGTTCACTGAGCGCCCGACATTAATCTCCTTCAATTTCCAGTCCCTTCCCAAGGTCCGATGCATTTCAGTCGCCACCCAGAGAAAAGGGAAGCTGTCCAGCACCATTTCCTTGGCCCTGCGCGGCGCGCCTCCCGCTTCTCCAGCACTGGCACCTGTCAGACGGGCCCCACCCCGGGCGTCTTTGGTGCGTGGGAGCCAAACCCTCAGGCTTCTCCCAGCTCGGGAGGAGCGCCAAGGGCCACCACGCTGCCGGGGGCAATGCCACATCATCTCCAAAGACCTAAGGCTCCCCCCCCCTAGTTTTAATCGGCCATGTATTGTTATGTATAGTTGAAGCCTAATGATAAACAGTGCTTGGTAAGGAATTAAATTCTTCAGCATTTTTCTCCTAACAGTTGAACTATAAGCAAAAAATCAAAACCGGAGGACCGGGCTGAGGCAACCTCGGGGGTGCTGGCGTGTTGAAAGCGTCGGGCCCCGGTGTGGAAACCTCGCCCTCTGAGGTCCCCGAGTGTGATTTCTATAAACCCTCTTCCTTATTTTGAAATAAGGATGTTTTCTAAAATATAAGATAATTGCATTACCCTGTTCGAACCGACACAGGAAATCGTGAGGGGAGAGCGAAATAATTTCTGACAACCTGCGCTCTCTTCCCCCTTCCCCTTTGCTCGCTTTCCTCGCAGCCTCTGATCCTCAGCCCAGTCAGTCCACTCTGGGCTCTGTCCTATTTTATTTTTTTAAATCCCCACAGGAGGACATGCTTTTCATCGATTCCAGAGAGAGAGGAAGGGAGAGGGAGAGAAAGAGAGGAACATCCATCAGTTGCCTCAACCCGCAACCCGGGCATGTTGCCCTGACTGGAAATAGAACCCGAAACCCTTCCGTGCACAGGACGGTGCTCTAACCACCGAGCACACTGGCCAGGGCTCTGCCGTCTTATTTTAGGGCCAAGGAGAAGCCTTGGTAAAACTTTAGAACATTTGACATTCGTAACTGAGCTGGGACCCGCAGAAAGGTGTTGAGCCCAGTCTTTCTCCTCTGCCCGCTTCTTCCTCAAGAACAGGTGGGTCTGTGGGGGCAGGAGAGGGAAACAGGTTTTAGAACCAAGAAAGGAGAAGCTCTAGGATAGCAATAAAAAAAATTTTAATAAAGGCAAATCCAATGCACACATTGCTGCAGCCCATGTAGAGGCTTGTGCTGGCCTTGGCCTTGTGCTGAGGTCCAGAAAACAGCTGAGGATTCCACCTTCAGGGCAGGTTTTCTCAAGGTGACTCTCCGGAGCATCTGTGGTTGGAGCGTTTCTAGAAGAGGGTCAGGATCAGAGATGGGGACCGACGCTGTCAGGGAAAGGAAACAGCATGGGAATGAGCGATGACCACTCACCACGTGCTCAGCATTCCTTTACACCGAATGTCTTATTCACACCTTTAGGTAGCCTTATGGGGCAGCCACTACTAATATCCTCATTTTATGGGTGAGGAAACGGAGGCTTGGAAACACCAGAGAGCCCAAGGCCATGAGGTCAGTAAGACTAGAACCCGGGCCTCCTGAGTCCCATCCCCTCTTGACTTCTGCCCTTTTCTATCTGCGGGAGACTCCCCATGAGGGCAGAGCTTCCAAAACCACTCAGAAGAGTTTGGATCTGGGACATACGCGCTTTGCCAAGAGAAAACCACTCAGAAGTCAGCTCTTGGGCAGGGCAGACTCAGGAGGGGGAAGCTAAGGCAACAAGCCATGTGGCCGTCTTTATGTGAAACCAGACGCGAGGTGATGAGGCTGGTGGCTGTAGAGATGGAAGACGGGCCAGACAGTTCAGCAAAGGGGTGTGGAAGGCAGTTATGGGGCGTAAAAGAGAGGGAGTCACACATTTGTGACCAGCAGGCTGAGACAGTGCCGTGTTTCTTCAGCCTGTGCAGTGTCTGATATTTATAATCTTAGTGCCTTAAAACAGGGCCTGGGTTCTCCAGTTTGTCACAGTGCCCCCCCTTCCCTATTGCCTCACACACACCCACTCTCCTCACTTACTGTTGCTGCTGGGGCCTGAGTGTGTGAGCCGCCCAACACGGTCAGTGGGCCTTACGCACGTTAGACCCCGGTGCACGGTCACGAGGCTGCACCTGTACTGGCCCCGCCTCATCCCTCCGAGCCTCAGGGTGCTCCCTGCAGACCGGGGGGCCATTCATTCACCAACCAGCATGTATTCACTGGCCCTGGCCACGGGCCTCCACGGTGCTTGGGGCTGTGAGTACAGCACCTAATAGGACCTGGAGGGGACCTGCCTCCTCTCTGAGGTCAAGTACAGGCGAGTTTTCAATGTTTTGCACAAACTGGTGGCAGCAGCTTGATAAAGTCTTCTCTTTATCTTCATCTTGCTGTTCTGCCTCCCTCCCAGTCACCTAGGATTTAATCACCACGATCAGCCTTTTTTCCTGTGAGGACACTGAAATCAGATCAACTGGGCTGCTGCAAAAAAAACCTCCCTGTTTTGCTTTGTAAGTAAAGACTATCTTAGATGCAAGATTATTCGAAGTAAGACAGTTTTCAACAGGATGCATGCATAGGACCATTTTAGCTGGTGACCACCTGGTGGTGGGACAAGCTGGCACGAAGCAGGGAGGTGGACCTCAGTTTCACAGTATGCGGCTTCTTCACTGGGAGTTTCTGCAGCTTGCTGGCCTGACGAGCCCCGGGGCTGTGGGGGCTTCTTTGCCATCCGGGCGCTGGTCGGAGAGCAGAGCCACGCGAGAAATGCCTGCTTTAGCCATTCGAGGAATCCTGACTGCACAGCTCACTTTTCCACTTCTGCCTGTTGAATGGTGGAAAACACCTCGAGCCTCTCCGGGGACAGCATGCTGACATCTCTGGAGCAGGACAGCTTAGCCACTTTCAGATGTGAGCAGCCTGGACGCCAAGTAAAACGCGTCCGCAGGCCTGCTGGGCTCACTGCTGCCGGCGGTCATGAGGTCAGCCTGTGTTTCGGGGTCACCCCCTCATCGTGCTGTGGAACCTTTGTGGCTGGAATCTGCATGGTGCTTTACAGCAGCCGGTTCTCCTTTGCTCCTGCAGTGGCAGCACAGTGGAGCTCCAGGCTGGGAAAGGGGATGCTGGCGCCCCCAGGAGTTTGTTGAGAGCATCTATGCACCAGCGCTTGCTGGTTCCAGCTACGGCCACCCTCATGCAGTTAGTGGAAACGTCAGACCCCCAAAGAACTCGGGTCTCCTGACTCTCTGTCTTCTGCTCTCTCGACCACCCTAGTTCTCGCTTTTCAAGACGTACTGATTGATTTGAAAAGTCTTAAGGAAGCAAGTCATGATTCTGTGTGAGAAACATAAAAAGCATTAACCTCTTCCTGGGCTCAGAAGCTGTTCCAAGAAGCTTTCACAGTCAGATTCTGATTAATATCTGGGAGGAAATGAGAACTGCCCCCTCTGGTCACTGTGAGTCAGGGTGCCCTGTGTGGCCCTACGAGGAGAGAGACATGCAAGGTCTGCTCCCCTCTGTCTCAGACCATAAGTAGCGGCATTTATAAGCATTAACTTTAAAAATCCACTTGAGCCCTAGCTGGTTTGGCTCAGTGGTTAGACTGTTGGCATGAGGACGGAAGGGTCTGAGGTTCAGTTCTGGTCAAGGGCACGTACCTTGGTTGCAGGCCCAGTCCCGGCCCTTGTCCCGGTACATGCAGGAAGCAATCAATTGATGTGTCTCTCTCACATCGATGTTTCTGGCTCTCTTTCTCCCCCACTCTCTGAAAAGCAGTGGAAAAAATATCCTCGGATGAAGACTTAAAAAAACAAAACATCCACTTGAAGTCATGTATCGCTTAAAAGAATCAAATGGAGAACTACTTTCAGTAAATACTTTATAGAAGAGATGTGGCCATAAGTTGAAGTTTTAGTGTTTCTTAAATAACCAAGGAATCGATGAGTTTTGTGGCACATTGGTTTAAGGATGAGGACAATTTATAACTTCTGTGCATTTGCCTTTTTACATCCACAAAGGATATGAGTAGTTCTACCTTTCCGGGCTCTTTGAGGCTGAGGGTGTTTTCTCCAGAAATTTGAAAACTTTCAAGAGTAAAAGACACTTAGGACGTGTGTTTCATGCAGTGAGCACAAAAAATGCTCCCCGTGCTGTTCTCCATGTGACTGAGACGGGAGGAGATGCAGCCCTAGGGAGCACCTGCCAGACCGGCTGGCCCAGGAGCCTCTCCCCCGTGTCTCAGGTGGCCCACCAGGACCCAGGTTCCCAGATCGCCGTCGAAGCACAGTGACCCCATTTCCCGGACATCAGGTCCTCCCAGGAACCTTCTCTGTTGCCTCTCGGTAAATGTTGTGGTTAACTCAAGCTCACCCTGAACTAGGCAAAGGATGATCTTCGGATGATCTTTCTCCTAGCAGATAGGCAGCACTGGATTTTTTTGCAGCTTACCCTCCATGCATTGCTTCCCACCGTAAACATGATCAATTATTATCTTTTCTTTTTTTAAAAGTAAATTTATTGGGGCAACTTTGGTCAACAACGTTATATAAATTTCAGGTGTACAACTTTATAATGCAACAACTGTATACGCGATTAAATTGATGATTTTGATGGCAATCTTGTTTCCCCTTGTAAATTTATTCAGAAAACAGGAAATACCTACCATGTGTTGGGCACGTGCATAGGTTAAGTGTTTATGTTACATGTACATATTACATAGAAGGTAAAATATACCCAGGTAGAGACTCCCCACTCTCCTGCTAAGCAAACCACTGAACCTCTCTGGGAGATCTTAGGGGTCGGGCCAGAAATCTGAACTCTGAGGTCCTTTGCTAGACTAGCATCTCGTGACGCTCTCCCCCTACCTGTAACAGGCCCAACGCAGCACTGTTCACACCCCTCGTGATGCTTCCTTTCTGCTTGTCTTTCAGAAATGTGAGAATAAAAAGCGGAGACTGGTTCTTTGAGGAACGAGCCAAGAAATTTCCAACTGAAGGTAAATGCTCTTAAAATCTTTACTAAATTAAAAACGACACATTCCTAGTTTTGAAATATTTGGTTCAAGACCCTTGAATACAAACAACTTTATAGGGCGAGGGAGGTGACCCTCCACCTCCCGTCCCTCTGACCTGCTTGCTCACAGTTTCCTGCATCTGCCCCCAGCCCCTACTGTCCCTCACCTTGGGCTGCGTGACCCCCATGTCCCTGAAGTTTCCCTGATGCCGGCTCCTGGGAGTGATGTCTCCCGCCCCCGCAAACACCAGTGGCTCTGGTCTGCGCGTCCCCAGCATCGCTGAAGGGCCTTGATTAGGTCCTTGCCCTCTGTCTCCCCACAAGCAGAACCTGTGCCTTGAAACCCCCGCAGCTCCTCACCGCCCAAGCACAAACCTCGTTCAGGATGCTTGAGCAGAACGATTGCGTGAATAACCGAAGAGCACACGCGTGGGTAGCTTAGAGTTGAGCTGACGTTGATGGTCGTGAAGTCACATGTCACGACTAAGGCAGGGGGAGGGTGTATTTGGTCTGTGTACCAGGAACCTCTTATAAAAGTCGCGCAGTTGATGTAACGGGGTGATCAGTAGCTGGGACCCGAATCCATGGCCAGAGCTAACTGCTTTGGTTACGGAAGCTCCGTGTCAGATGTGAGGGGTGCAGATAGGGGAGTAACTTATCACACAAAGACACCCACACGTCATCCACGTACAGTGGGGCCAGCGTGCTCCGCGCATCACATCCGCGTGCAGTGCTGACTGGGCGGGTAGCCCCCTCCTCTGCGAGGTGTCACAGTGGAGATGGCACCCAAGGGAGTCGGCAGTGACCTAGAGGGAATGGGTTGCTGGGAACACTTTTTTTTTCCTGGAAAAAGTGATGGTCTGAGGTAGAGAAATTAGCTATTTAGCATCAACCAGAATGTGTCGTCAGGTGAAGGCAGCACGGGCTGGAGCATCGATGCTCAGCTCTTATAAAGGGCACTGCTCGGGGGTTCGTATCAGTCGGAGTGAAACTCCCCTGGATCCTATTCCTGACTCTTCTTACACAAGACAAAAGGGTGTTTCTGCCGAGTTTATTAGAAATTGGGAGGAAAATATACTACCCACTGGAGTGCCCAAGAAAATGCATGCGGCGAGTGTCCGAGTCCATCTAGACCGGTGGTTCTCAACCCTTTTCGGTTCCCATCCTGTCTCCTGGCCCCAAGCAGCGCTGCTTATACTAGTTTTTAAAATACTACCTGTCCAGGGAAGTGTAACATCCCAGGTGTATTGCACATCCTTGGATGGGCCACAAACCATTGTAACAGCTCCAGTGTTTTCGTGTTCCAAGTAGTAGCTTTTTTGTTGTTAATTTTCACCTAAGGGTATTTTTTCCATTGATCTTCAGAAAAGGAGGGAGGGAGCGGCCTGATCTAACTTTATTTTTTCCTCTCAATCAGTTTCCCCAGTACCATTTGTTACATAACAAGCCCCTTACCCCCTGGTTTATAACCCAGGGCCATTCATTTGCACAGCTTCCCAACACCACTCGCCTTGTACCCGAGCCCCAAGCTCCAGGGGTCTCGGTCGCATGGCTACCACACTAATGCTCCCCTGTTACCTGCAGCCCTTGGCCATCTGTCCTAACCAGATTCTCAGTTCTGGGAGGGTAGGAACTATGCGTAAAGGAGTAAGTGAATGTAAAAGTAAGGATAGGGCTGTTTGGAGATAAAATGTACTGTTCTATGTGGTAGTTTCCGTTGTCAGACTTAGCACCTAGTGGGCCCCTAAAAATGAAAAGTTAGAGTTGTTTTCTTTTTTTGGCATCCAGAAACCTAGTGCTAAACTTAAAGTTCAGTTGGAGTAATTCCATCATTATGCCAATACACTTTTACTTATCTCTATTTTAATGATCTTACTGGATATGTGCCATTTAAAAGAAATGTTCCCAAGACGTCCTTGAAAGTAGGCAAGCTATAAGTAATAATCCAGGGAAGAAGAATCGATATTAATTGTGGCAGCTTGTTGTGCTAATTTTCCAACCATTAAAAAGATCGAAAAACAGGAAAACTGAACCCAAATTCTTTATTTTGCAGGGAGATGGTACATAAAGTATATTAAATATTCTGCTTTCCTTAAAAAAATTTTTTCTGATTATTGACTCTTTTTTTCCCCTCTAAGATTTTATTTATTTATTTATTTAAAAATATATCTTTATTGATTTCTGAGAGAGGAAAGGAGAGGGAGAGAGAGAGACAGAAACATCATTGATGGAGCCCACAACCCCGGCATGTGCCCTGACCGGGAATCGAACCCTGATCGCCTGGATCCTAGGTTGACGCTCAACCGCTGAGCCACGCCCGGCCGGGCCCCCTCTAAGATTTTAAAATTCAACATTTAGCTTTGTTGTCTTTAAACGATTCCTTATATGCCGTCATTGTGGTTTCTCTGTGGTGCATCAGAAAGATCAAACGTGGGCAGCCCCCTGCGTTCTGGCACTGTCACCGCCGCCCCTCCACCCTCGGGCACGTGACAGTCTCCACATAGGTTTTTACTGGGGCTTCTGGGACCCTGGCTCCAGGATCAGCTTATTTTAACTTCAAAGTTCCTGACTCAGTGGGACCAGGCGGGGCCCAAGAGTGTATATTTCACAAGTTCCCAAGTAATTCTTCACACACTTTAAATCTGAGAACCACTGATAAAGCAGCAAAGTTACTACACAATTACAATGGCCATTTTCTAGATCATTGATAACTAGAAAGCACTGAAAATCTTACCTTTATGATAATTCCTTTAGTATTTGCTAAGCATATAATGATACTGCCCTCTTCTGGCTCCTGTGCACATATTATACTGTATTTTACAACCGTGACATTTTCTCACTCAAGGGTATTTTTTTTCTCATTGTTTTTGAGAGAGTAGGAAGGGGAGAGAGAGAGGGAGTGAGAGGGAGAGGAAGAAACATCGTGTGAGAGAGACACATCGATTGGTTGCCTCCTGCACTCTCCCTGGCCGGGGCTGGGGATCGAGCCTGCAACCGGGGTACATGCCCTTGGCCCGAATCGAACCCGGGACCCTTCAGTCCAAGGGCTGACCCTCTAACCACTGAGCCACACCGGCCAGGGCAGCCATGATATTTTTATTGCTTAGTACTTGAGCTTAAAAGCAGAAAGATGACAATATTAATACTTTTAATACTAATACTTTTTCAAGTTAAAATGCTTAAATGTAATATATAAACAATCTACTGTGGCTTTCACTTTAGGGTTAGTAATGGGGGAAATGAAATAATTTTGGAAGGCTTCCCCTTAACAGAGCCTCTGACAATGGTCGCAGTGATCCATTCTGTAACTAACCAGGGAGATACCGTGTCTAAGAATCACGAAGGAAAATAACTTGTATTGCCTCCTCCCGTAGCACGTGTGATTTAGCCTTTCCAATGACCTTTCAGAGTTTTATTCTTTTACACGGCACCTTGGATGCGGTCTGTCTGATCACAGGGCCATCGGGACAGCAACTGACTGGCTGTGTGGCCTTTAAACATTCAGGGCCGTGAATTAAAAGAAGCCGGCGCCATAAATGTTAGTGGCTGTAGCACGAGGCCCTGACTTTATCGCCTGTCCGCTCTGAGGACTCAGCTAGGACCTCCCGTGCCTGGGGCTCAGCACAGGGCTCCCGGGACGCTCAGCGCAGCTCTGAGCCTGCCTCGTGCGCGTGCTTGCTCTCCTGAGCGCGAGTCTGTAAAAGCGCGTGGATTTCCCAGACGATGCAATTTTGTTTATGCTTTTGTCTTACTTTAAAGAAAGTGTGGCATCATTTAACCAGCACGTATGTGAATGTCTTCTCACCACTCTCCTTAAGAGGCAACACAAGATAAACACCAACCCACCAAGGGGAGTGTGTGCCCTGGAAGTGACTTTCCCAGCTGATCGCATTGCTGGATATGCCCCCCGCCCAGGATTTTAGACTTGTCTCAACAGGAGACTGCAGTTTCCCTGATGCTTTCTGACCCCCAGCATTTCTACCAAGACCATTTATTTCTTTGCCTCTACCCCTCCCACCGCCTCTGTGCGTGTTTAGCCCCACTCAGTGAGGAGGCCGCTTAGGCAGTCTGCGGCCTGCGTCTTTGGTCCTGAAGTGTCACGACACCCTGCTGTCCATTTGCTTCTTTGGGGTTTTGATCTATTACGTTTCGCCCGGAGGGGGAACCGTGATTAAATGGGCTGATTATTAGTCTAGTCAGTATTTTATTTTACTGAACACTCCCTGCTTTATTGGGGCTTGGCACACTGCAAATTTGGCCCACCATCTGTTTCTCTTTTTCTTTTTAAAATATATCTTTATTGATTTCAGAGAGAGGAAAGGAGAGGGAGAGAGAGAGATAGAAACATCAATGATGAGTCATTGCTCGGCTGCCTCCTGCACGACCCCTGCTGGGGATCGAGCCCACAGCCTGGGCATGTGCCCTGACCGGGAATCGAACCCCGATCGCCTGGATCCTAGGTCGACGCTCAACCGCCGAGCCCCGCCCGGCCGGGCAGTTTTCCTAACTAAAGTTTTTTAGAACGCAGCCATGCTCTCTCCTTCCTGTCCGTGGGCGCTTGGTCTCAGTGGAGACTGTTGCTGGCAAGCCTGCCGTCCCCTACCTGGCCGTTCACAGAACACGCCGCTGCTCCCTGCTCTCGGTGGTCGGCTGATAAAAAGCAGCAACTTTTTCACACCATCATCGTTTTTCCCGTTTAAAGGAACAGGTTGGGAAAACAAGGGGATATGACTGAACCGAACAGGATTTCTGAATTAAGAATTCATGTGTTCATGTATTTAGACCAAATTACCGATAAAGGTAGTTTCCAGGGAGTATCTTGACAATTGGATATTAAGCTGTCTCTTTATATGAATACATTTTTTAAAAAAGACCACATATATACTTAAATAAGAAATCATTCTGAATTTAAGAACTCCACGTTTACTTTCTTACTATGGCAGGATATACATAACATAAATGCACTGTTTTAACCATTTTAAA